AGTGCTACAAACCCAATGAAGCACACACTGATGTTGCAGGGCTATGCTGTTTAAATGCTGTCTAGCTCAGGGATCCTTTTATTTATCATTTTCCTGCAAAGCAACTAGAACAGATGCAACTTTGTCCAGGAATAACATAATGACTGAGATATAAATGATGCCAAAAGAGCATTAGCTCTGATACTATTACATCTAAAACAGCTCCACTTGTACACCAATTGCTTTGGGCTTTTGTCTCCAAGAAAAAAAGTGGGCTATCTCTCTGAAAAGATGAGGGTTTGTGTTGGCATGGTAACCACATAGTAATTTCACTGCTTTTATGGAACCAGGCACCAAACATAAAAGTCCACAAAAAAAAAAAATCACGATTAATCTAACATCTCAGAGACGAGGTGTGTTTAGGAAGCTGAGAGAAAAGTTATTTAGCTGGAAAAGCTTTGTGTCTTGTATTTCTGCAGGGGTGGATGATTGTGTGGCACGCCACATGCTGGACTTTAAAAACACAGAGAGTGTGTGGGTGCTGTTTTAATACTGCGTGAAACCTCACAGGTTGTGTCCTGCATTGTCTCCTCTTTATCTCCTCTTGTGCACCAAAAAAATAAAAAACAAATAAAATACAAAACCAACTGCGACATCACCATTTTAAAAACAGATAATATCAAATGATAATACCATAGAATTTCTGACATATGAATAGTGGACATGACATGTCGCAGTGTCCTGCAGGGTTATCATAGAAAGAAGTACAACTAAAAATGAAACAAAAAAGAATAAAATTAATAATAATAATAATAATTTCTTGAAATAAAATAAATGTTAACCGAAATAAAATAAAATATATATTAAAAAACTTTTTATTTCAGTTATTTCCTAAGGCAACGTTATTTTAATGTAACTTGATTTAATAAAATAACTACAACAAAAATTAATTTAAAAAAACTATACAAACATTATATATATATAAAGAATAAATACTAAAAATGACAAAAACATGCAAATAATCACTAAAACTTGAACTAAAAATAAATAAAAGCAAAATCTGAAAATAAACACTGATTCAAAATATTAATAAAAACTATAATAGTATCCTGCAGTATAGCTAAACTCAATTTCAATTTTATGTTATTAAAAATTGGAACATATCAGTTAGTGTATTAGTTAGTTCGTTTTTGGTAATACCTCATTATACAAACCAATATAAAACCTAATTGAAAATAAATTATTGCAATCCACATAAAATGAATCATGACAAATAGCTTATAAAGTTGAACCTTCTGAAGAGAATAAATGATGTTTTTGAAGATTAAGCACCTCTTTTCAAACAAGTTGTAATTCAAAGCATAGATTAAATATAAATGAAAAGCTTTTATTTAAAAAAGTGATTCAAAATAGTTATAGTTGCAGCTATTTTTTTTTTAATTAATTTTAAATGTACTTTTAATACGTTTATTTTATAGTTTATTTTTAAAGTGTCTAAGAAGTACTACGTGTGAAGAGAGTTCAACGAAGACATATCTCTGGATGATAGATCATAGAAATATGAAGTTTAATTCTATGCATCAAGTTGCAATACTGCCATCTTGTGTTGACATATAAATGATTTAATTCGCAATTAACGAATAAACAAGCCAAACAGGAAAGATATTTTTATTTTTTAAGTATTATTTTTAAAATTTTTATTGTTTTGTTGTTTTTATTAATATATAGCCTAAATAAATATAAATATAATTGAAATAAATAATCCCCTTAATAATCCCACAGAATGAGACAAAAGCATTAAGTAACTGTTATATAAACAAGTCATTCTTTAATGTGTTAACTTAGTAACAGTGTTTAAGCACAAGAAGTCATTTCGCTGACGACCTGGTCATGGCACCCGAGCGCGTGCGCGTCGCTATGCGTACGCAGGAGGGGGAGGGGCACGTAAACAGAGAATTCCAAAAAGGAAGGGAGTGTTTCTTTCAACTGACAAACCAGTACATAAAGGTATGCTTTAAAAAGCTCGTTCTGAAATTGTGCATCCTCAGTTTACAGATTTTTTTTAGACGATCTGCAGGCGTGTGTGTTTTATTAAATCTTTTGAATCTGCAGCCTCGTGCATTTACCATTTTCATCCCAACGCAGCGCCATTACTGTACAGGGCAAAATGGACAAAATGGCCATTTTCGATTATATTGTTTTTTACGTGCAGTTCAGTTCTTGTGCATTAGTAAAATGTGTGCAGGTGTGCCTTTATGCACGTTATTCGCTGCATATATCAATAAAGACCATACGTGGAGCATATAAACAATAAGAATGTTGCTCCTTTCTTGTTAATTTGCCGTGCCTTTATGTCCAGCGTGTGTTTGTCGACGTGTTTTTCTATGCACGAGCTTCCATTTGCTGACCAGAGGTCATGGTCGTTCATTTCAGGTGTCCATAACAGTGCATAAAAATCCTGTAATTTTGTAAATCTCCACAGTGCAGTGCATTATAACGTAATAAACAATGCAGCATGTTTTTATTGCATTCCCAGTTTAGATGCATACAACATTTGCTAAATGAATGAAATCTCTTGTTTATATATATATATATATATATATATATATATAGTAATTCATGGAGTCTATATTTATTGGCAGGTTAGAATCATGCCCATTCGCCGATCAGCTGCAGCCCCACCCAAAGAGGATGCACCCCCTGCAAATGCCCCTGAGGGAGGTATGTATTGCCCCTTACCTGGCGCACACAGGTCACATAAGGAGTAATTCTGTCATTATACACTGAAATAATACTGGAATACAGGCAACTAGCCACTGAAATCCTTTCCTGAAATCATATGGCTTCAGGAGAGTTTCTAAAATAAAGCACAAGTGGTGTTAATTTGGCTTGAACATTTCCATGCATCTCATTGTTTTCGATTCCACAGATGCTCCTGCCGAAAGGTCTGCACCTGTAGGTGAGAAGGAGAAGGTAAAAGAGAAAGATTCGGCACCCGCTGAACCTGAAACCACGGAGGAAAAGAAAGAAGGTGAAGAGGAGGAAGCGACCGCTGATGGTGAGGACCAGTCCAAAGATGAAGGAGAAACGCCTAATGAGGGCGAGAAATCTGAAGAAGCAGCAGCTGATCAAGGGAAGAGCAAGAAGAAAAAAGTCAAGGAAGTTGTAGCCAAAATGTAAGTCTGGCTTTTGAAGAAATGTATTTTTTAAGCGTTTGGTGATTTCCACTTGTTTATTGAATAAAAATGGCTTAGTAAGCATGTTATGCATTTGTTTGGCTCAAATGGTGCAGTGACAAGGAAGATGACAAAGGGAAAAAGGTGAAAAAGAAGATTCCTGCCTGGGCGACCATTTCCGCCAACAAACTGGCTTCAACCTCTCTTTCCCAGCCCAAAGTTGAAGAAATCATCATAGAAGCAATTGAGGTCTGGTTCAGAATTTAACTGTTCCATTAGCATTTAGAGAGAATTTGACTAAGTAGGTTTTTACTCACTGATCAGTAAAATCTGTAAACCAGTATAAAGTGCTGCAGTGATGACGTGTTTTGTAGGCCAATGTGGAAGTTATCAACAGCCTGGTTCCTTCAACAAAAACCCAATAGGATTATTCCATTTGGCTTTTGGATTATTGCAGAAAATAAGCTCTGCGAACAACAAAAGATTGTGATTATTACATGTTTTGTTAATCATGATGATCTTCACAAATGAACACAACTTTTAGGAAGTTTGAAGCCTAAATGCAATCGCCAGAAGTCAAAAGTTAAACATAGGCTATAAAAAAAACTACACCACGTTCACATGACTTCAACATCACCATCATTACGCTTTTGAGAACTCTTTGATCTTTATTTAAAATCTACACTTTTTAGTTGAAGTAGATGCGTTTACCTGTTCGGCATAATGACAATTAATGTTCCCGATAACCTCTGTAGTCCCATTTAGCTTTTTTAATGAGACGTTAAAGCTGAAAAAATTGTAAGTGGGGTATTACAGGAGTATTGTATGTTTTAGAATAAAATGTCAATATATTTTTAGCTTGTGTTAACCACAGACCTTATTTCAAGCATTTGACCAAAAACCCATTCAATGGTTTCAGGACGATGTGCTGAAAATCTAAGAATCAAAAAATTGCCATCTCATATGTACATCTTTACTCTCTACCTACAGAGCTGCAAAGAGCGGAGTGGTGCCTCTACGATCACCATTGTGAAATATGTCATGAAGAAATATCCATCTGTGGAAATGGACAAAAAGACCAAAAACCTCTACAAGAGGACAATGAAGAGAATGGTGGAGAAGGGCACTGTCAAACAGGTGATTTGCAATTCAATACGTGGATATTTCTCATTTTATATGCAGACTAAGTCAAAAGTAAACTTTGTGTTGTTGTCTTCACCCACAGCTGAAAGGCAAAGGCTTCTCTGGAAGTTTCGCCATTGGGAAGGTATCCAAACCTCATTTGTTTGTTGTCTGCATTGCTGTTATTGCTGAGATCCACGAGGTTGAGTACTTTTTTGGTGGTCATCATTTTTAACTAATTTTGTCGATGTCATGTTGTGCAGAAGCATGCTGGGTCTGTCGGGACGAAAGAGACACTGGGAGAATCTCTGCCTCTGATCATCACCCGCCTCTGTGAACCCAAGGAGGCTTCCTACATCTTGATCAAGAAGTACCTGGAGCAACACTTCCCACAACTCAACGTGGATAGCAGGTCATTATTGACTTATTTTTAGGGCAACGTCCTATAACTAGACTATAGTTTGAACTAGTGCTGTCAAACGATTAATCGCGATTAATCACATACAAAATAAAAGTTTTTGTTTGCATAATATATGTGTGTGTTCTGTGTATAGTTATGTATATATGAATACACACATACAGGATATATCTTGAAAATATTTACATGTATATATTTATATTCATATAATTTATATGATATATAAATATATTTAATATATAAACAAGCACAAGAAGTCATTTCGCTGACGACCTGGTCATGGCACCCGAGCGCGTGCGCGTCGCTATGCGTACGCAGGAGGGGGAGGGGCACGTAAACAGAGAATTCCAAAAAGGAAGGGAGTGTTTCTTTCAACTGATAATCCAGTAAATCAAGGTATGCTTTAAAAAACTCATTCTGAAATTTTGCATCCTCAGTGTACAGAATCTTTTATATGTTCTGTAGGCGCGTATGTTTCATTAAATCTTTTGACTCTGCAGTCTCGTGCATTTAACATTTTTAGCCTAACGCAGCGCCATTACTGTACAGGGCAAAATGGACAAAATGGCCATTTTCGATTATATTGGGTTTTACGTGCAGTTCAGTTCCTGTGCACTGGTAAAACGTGTGCAGGTGTGACTTTATGCACGCTATTCGCTGCAAATATCAATAAAGACTAACGTTATATGTGGAGCAGATAAACAATGAGATTGTTGCTCCTTTCTAGTTAATTTGCTGTGCCTTTATGTCCAGCGCGTGTTTGTCGACGTGTTTTTCTATGCACGAGCTTCCCTTTGCTGGCCAGAGGTCACAGGCGTTCATTTCAGGTGTCCAAAACATTGCATAAAAAACCTGTAATTTTCTAAATAAATCTGCAGGCTCCACAGTGCAATGCATTATAACGTAATAAACAATGCAACATGTTTCTATTGCATTCCCAGCTTAGATGCATACAACATGTTCGAAATTAAATAATATATATATATATATATATATATATATATATATATTTATAAAGTCTTTATTTATTGGCAGGTTAGAATCATGCCCATTCGCCGATCAGCTGCAGCCCCACCCAAAGAGGATGCACCCCCTGCAAATGCCCCTGAGGGAGGTAGGTATTGCCCCTTACCTGGTACATCAGCCATATTGAGCGGGAATGGGAATAATGACAGTCCACATAGACAGAAGCACTTCATTAGGAATAATTCACCCACAAATAAAAAAAGTCTGTCATTATTTGCTGAAATAATACTGGAACACACGCAGCTTGGCACTGAAATCCTTTCCTGAAATCATGGCTTCAGGAGAGTTTATAAAACAATGCACAGGTGGTATGAATTTTGCTTGAACATTTCCGTGCATCTCATTGTTTTCGGTTCCACAGATGCTCCTGCCAAAGGGA